ATGTGACAGCCTGGATGGGTAGCTGCACAATCATATGTGAGCAGAGTGAACAGGAAGGAGCTCAACACACATCCCTGAGGCGAGCCAGTGCTGAGGGTTATGGTGGAGGAGGAAAAGTTGTGGATCCTCAGTAACTGTGGTCTGTTTGTTAAGAAGTCTAGTATTCAGTTTCAAATGGAGCGGCTTAGTCCTAGTGTGAATAGTCTGTCCATCAGGGTTTGGGAGATCATGGTGTTGAAGGCGGATGTGAAGTCCACAAAGAGCATACGGACATAAGAGTCTTTCTTTTCTAGGTGGTTGTGTGCAGTGTGGACCACAGAGGAGATGGCATCCTCTGTTGATCGGTTTTCACGGTATGCATACTGATGAGGGTCCTCGTTGATGTTGATGGTTATTTTGATGTGAGTCATGACCAGTTTTTCTAAGCATTTAGCAACTATCCGGGTGAGGGCCACTGGCCAAAAGTCATTCAGACTAGGGCATTAACAGAGTACTCGAGTAATCTACACATCGATTGCTAGGACATCTATCGAGGTTAAAAATTTAACATCGAGTATCCGTAGTGACGTCATATTATGTGACCACTGTATGACCGTAGGGGGCGGTGTTGCACTGTTGCAGGTTACAGAGTATGGTGTAACTCCGGGTCCAATCCACCGAACCAGTTTTGGTTAAGTTTCGTTTTTGACGTGCTGCACGTTTCTTCACGTTTGCAGTTTAATAATAATAACTAATAGTTTAGTTTTTCCTGTGATTTATTTGCAGTATGATAAATGGTAGGAGCATAATATACGCTCCCAATGTTTTGTTGGTCTTTTTTTTGTAAATAATTCCCTTTTTTTTGCGGTTTTATTTATTTATTTATTTTTGTATCTTGAGATCTATGACGTCATCAAATACTCGAGTTCTACTCGGGTTTTATTATGTTAATGTCGAGTTTAAAAATTATATACTCGTTCAACCCGTAATTCAGACCAGTCATTAGCTATGTTTACATGCGCAGAATTCTTTGACCGGATTGAAATGTATTCTGTTTGAATAATTCAAATGTATTGTTTACATGGACACAATCTGTTCATGACGAGCGTTTACATGCAGCGGGCTTTGTTCTGAACAGCAGTACTGACATGCGCAGAGTGGTAAACTCTCCTTAAAAAAAACACAGAAGAAGAAGTTCTACTTCCGGGGTGAACGTAAACAAACCTGAGCACCCAAAATGGACCCGCAACAGGTTTTAATGACGGTGGAGACGTTACTGCACTTCCTGACTGAGCTACAGGTAATACAGATCATTTTGAGCTCTTTCAAAGTTTCTAGTAGAAATGCTGTGTCGCTCACCGACCAGTTTTGCTTCCCTGACATGCTAATATTATTAGCATTAGCCAGGCGGAAATGGCAAAGCCGCACATGCGCAGTCAGGTCAGTTTTTCACCATCAGATAAAAACGAACAGATCAAGCGTTTACATGCGCACCGATCGGGTTTCGGATCGGCGTAAACCACCCGTTTCTTTCTGATCACAAATTATATCGGATTTCGCCGAATACACAAAAAATAACCCGAACGGAGTGTTTACATGACACACTTTTATTCCGACCGGCCATTTGATCCGGTTACTTATGTCCATGTAAACATACCCATTGTAGAGCTTTTTGGGACTGGGATGATGGTGGCAGTCTTCAGGCAGGTGGGAACTGTCTCCAGGGTAAGTGAGGTGTTAAAGATGTCTGCCAGCACCTCGCAGAGCTGATCGGCACATTCTTTCAACTCTTTTCCGGGGATGTTGTCTGGGCCAGTTGCCTTGTGCGGATTAATCCTCCTGAAGGTACTCCTTACTTCTGCTGAGGTCACGCTGAGATGCTCTCCATCCGGTGGTGAGGTGAGTCTGGTGCTGGGTGGTCTGTTCCGGTCTTCAAAGCGTGCATAGAACTTGTTGAGGGCATCAGGTAGAGATGGGTCTTTGGGGCATTGTTCGCTCCTTCCTTTATAATCTGTTATGCACTTAATGCCCCTTCACATCCTTCGAGGGTCTTGTGAGGTGAACTGACCCTCGATCCTCTTTGCATATGTGGATTGTACCCATGTAAACAATACATTTTAAATTTTAATCTGAAAACATTTCAATCCGATCAAAGAATTTTGCACATGTAAACATAGCTAGTGAGACTTTTAAGTTGGACTAATCTGACCTAATGCCCAGAGGCTAGCCATTAGGTTTATTCATTAAGCAACCTCTGGTTCTGACCCCCACAAAACTGCAAAAATCTCTAACTCATTTGTCTGAATATAATCCTAAAATTATACAATGCATTAGAGCTGCTTCTGGATCTTAAAAGGTAGTTGAAGTCTGCCTTTGTCAAACAGACAGTCTTTGGTTAACCATAAAAACAAAAAGGTGGGTAAACATGTGCACCTGTAAGTAGTTGGAATGACCCATTAATCTGATGAAGTAGATTTAGAAAATTTATTATTTCAGAGAGGGTGGCATGGTGGCTCAGCTGGTAGAGCTGTTGCCTCTCACCAAGAAGGTCGCCGGTTCAAATACCGGTCGCGATTCCCTCAACATGTTCCCTCTAGGCATGCATGGGTTTTCTCCGGGTACTCCAGTTTCCTCCCACAGACCAAAAACATGCATGTTAGTCCCATTGGTAACTCTAAATTGTCTCTAGGTGTGAGTGAGAGAGTGAATGGTTGTTTGTCTCGTTTGTCTCTATGTGCCTCTGTGATGGACTGGAGACTTGTCCATGTGTCCCCACCTCTTGCACAGTGACTGCTGCATATGAGCATCAGTGACCCCCATGACCTGAAAAGGAAGAAGAGAGTAAAGATAATGGATGGATGGATTAATGGATAGATGGATGGATGGATGGATGGATGGATGGATGGATGGATGGATGGATGGATCAAACATGAATGACTTTTTTATGTGGCTAAAACTGTAAGAGGCAGTGATAAAGTTTTGGTTGTGTTACAAATTACTGACGTTGGCTCCCAAACCAGCAGAAATGTTTACATTTGGCAGACTTGCAACTAAACTTGCTTATTCCAGGCCTATGACCATGATTGTGGCAAAATCTTGGAAACAACACAGACCAGACATACTGTATAGTACCTGTGGTATCCATTGTGCTAACATGGTGTGATCTTTCAGCAAATATCTGCATCAAGATGTCTGAGAAAGTTGTGCCAAGACAGGCATATAGATCTTGGGGACTGAAAAAATAGCAGGGAAAGAACCTGCTTAGCACTGAGAACTGCATACTGAGTGCTGAGAAAAATACTTCACAGGTAAGATTTTTAAAATGTTGCCATGATTGAGC